CGCCCTAAATTGTTGCCCTTATAGTCATGTGTGCATTTGTGCTACGAAAGCGTGCCACGATACTGAAACGTTGGAGAGCAGATATGGTAAACAGGAATCACGCTTCTGGGGATGGAATGAGTCCTTTATACAGCCTACACCACTTTAATCAGACAGTGCTTCACATACTTTTCAATTGTTATTGTGCCTTGGTTTCTTCATCTGAACGCGAGCATTGCAACATTTATTGTTCGTACTTCGAACATTCCAAGTTCACATCAGGCGTTAGTTTGTTGTGTGTCCGCCAGCTGACTGTGTTATGTTAATGAAGGCCATTATTATGATATCCTTTAGTGTCGTGTGCCTCAACACTGTCGTCGCTTTCAGTCTATTCATTTTTATTCTGACAACGCAGCTGCAATATAGTGTGCTAGAATTGCTGACTTAAAGTGTGAAGCAACACTCTATGAGGAGGAATTTTCCCACTCCTCTTCCCCATATCTTATCGAAATTCTTCACTTGTACCTGATATTGTCTAACCGCGCATATCAAACCCATATTTCCCCTTCCGAGGCTTTAAGATCTCATCCAAAACCGAGCTCACTGGAAACCATCAAGCATAAACAAAGCTCCACTGAGCCTGAACACCTATGGCTATATCCTGCTTCACTTACATCAGTATGATGCCTGTGTATGCACAGAGCAAGGGCACCAGGTACCTTCAAGCCCGAGAGTCCCAGCGACTCCAGCCGCGTGCATGCATGAAGTTTGGGTTGTTTATGAAGGCATCACCATTTACAGCTGTGTGCCAAATGCAAGGGCTTCACACATCCCCAACTTTTTTTGTCGCACCACGCAAGCACCACACGACCAAAGCAAGCCTGGTACAAACACCAGCAAAGCCTGGCAGATAATTTTACTGACGTATTTTTTTACACTAAGGAAGTGGGCCACTAACTTTTACCACTCCCGAAATGCAGCAGTAAAAATTCAAGAAATGTCTCCTAAATAAAGGTGAAAAGCTGAATATCACCGTTTGAACACTCATTTTTCCAATTTTTTGCCAAATGAGCTAATGACAAAATTTTACGAACAAACTCAGTCTTTATATCTGTTTAATTACTTTTGTTTCTGATCTTATACGAGTGTGATACAACTTCATTTTTCATTCATTCCCGATTGCCTGTAAATACATCGTCTATGGCTTAAAATGTTGACCAATTTCTCTGCGAAATGTTCCAATTGCAGACTTGTACATATTTCATATATAAATTGGATTAAAGGGAATGTTCCACATTTGCGTGGCGTTTTGAACTGAAATAGCCATCTGGAGGACATCTTGATGCAGTTCACGGATATACCCTTTTTAAGAATCAAAACGCTCTGGTTCCTGAGTTACACGCCCGCAAAGTACGAAAAGGCTTATTTACAGCCAACTTCAAAATCGCCTTCTGATTAATGACGCCATAGAAACGTATTGAGATCCCTGTGATATTACAGGCTGTTTTTTGTTTATGGTCAAAACAGCATGGCCGCTGATACACTCGCAAAGGTGATGATGCTACACATATGGTACAGTCCGCGGAAGATTATTGGCTGTCAATTAAATTTTACTGTTGAATATGAGTCGCGGACACGAGCGTGATCAATGTCGGGTTGTGCGACACTCGTGAACCGGTCATTTTCCTTATTTTTAGGCCAGAGGTCAATGTTATAAAAAAGAACGTCACTGTCTGCAAAAGTACGGCACCCAAAAATGGGCACTCTGCCGAAGTTGTAAAAAAGTAGATGCGACGGTAAATCTGTCTTTTTTTCTTCTGCTGGCGTTTTTTTTTTTCCTCTACTAGCGTATCTCTTACAGGCAGCTCAGTTGGCGCCTTGTGTACCGAAGCATAGAACCTTGCACGGGTTTATGGGTTAGCAAGGCATCATAAAATTGGGAAACCATTACAGTTATTAGATATTTATGCACATACACACACACACACAGTATTTTACACATATGGTGCGACAGATTTATATCTTAAACAACACATTTTGTTTTACAAAAAGCTCTTAACCGCATTACCATGAATCCCCGTTGGGGCTTTGTTTCGAAGGGAGGTCACGATGAAGTTCAGTGCTGTGACTGAAGATCTGTGCGGAAATTGTGAGAGAACCGGCATTTTGATAGTCCCGCGAGCTGTGCAAATGTGAGATTACACTTATTTGACAAAAGAGTGTGAATCGGGGACTCGAAGTGCGTGTGATCATTGGTGGTGTGTGCCAGTGGCTTGTATTGGCATTGATGTAATGGGGGGTGTGCGTGCGAGGTTTGTTCTTCTGAGAGAGAGCTTTGTTTTGGTAATCTTCAGCCTACTGACTCCCAATACAATGTGATATATTAGTGCCTGATATACTGATGCCTATTGATATTGATGCCTGCCTCTACCTTTATTGTTGTGTTTGCACATGATAACGGAATGCTGGCCAACGGAGAGAAATACTATCAATTATGTTGAGGGAGTGTACAAAGGCAAGTACTGGTACTGGTACTTCATTACGATCTTGCCAACATTGTGAACCGATTGAGGTATTACAGCATATAATTAATCCATTGCATGCCATTATATCAGCAATTTATTTTGGGGAGTATGGGCTGGTGTGTGCAGCTCATTAATGGACATGCTCGGTATGGGCTCACATTATTTGGCTTTGCAAAATTGTCTTTCCATAAATAATTCTGAAAATGTAGAGCTTGATAATTACTAATGCACATCGTACTGTCTTCACAAGTCTTGTATGCAGGCGAGCATTGCTCCTGAGTTAATCAATGTCATTGTCACTGCAACTTGCGTGGGATGCTGGGTGCTGAGAAAGGTGGAAAAGTATTGCTGTTGGTGTCTTGGATAGCACTTAATAATATGTTTATCATGAGCGTGGTGTGCTCTGGCAGCTTCATCACTTCCTTGCATTTTGCCCATCCAACCATAACTACACGCACTTGTCATGTCTCCAGCTTTGTGCACGGTCAGCATGTTTGCAGTGTCATTTCACCACACGTAAAATTTTCCTGCTATTTTTTAGTAAAGCAGCCTGATGACTGCAGCATGTTGCATCAGTGTCTGAAATTTGCTTTCAGCTCTTGGGGAGGGAGAACAAAAACGTTATGATCACGGCTTGCAGAGAGAACAAAATATATTCCTAGCAAATTTACACTATATCCACAGCCGTCATTTTGGGACCATTGTGTGGTAAGGGTGACAGCAGATGCCAAGCACAAAAACACTGACTAGGCTTATTCATAACCACAAACATTGCAAATCAGCTCACAATTCTGAAAGTTTCTAACTGTCTGAAAGACAAGCTTATATATAAATTACACTAATGCAGGAGGCATGGACAACTATAGCACAATGTATACAAAATGCTGCTGAATGTAATACATGCTCTGCTGAATGTAAGGCATAAAATGCCAATGTAACACATGCGCTGCTGAATGTAATACACAATCTCTGCTGAATGATACATACTCCTTTCTGTTAAACTGAATATAAATACCCAATGACGTCACAAACCTAATCAAGCCGACAATTTCCCGGGATCCCACATTGGCCAACTTAAATAAGACGTAAAAGCTTTCTTCCTCGGAAAATTATCGAAACAACGCCTACATGATAACTCGGAAACAATAGCACCCCTGCTATTGTTTCGACAGAGGCATGCTGTCAAAGTATCAACACTCTAAATTTGCATAGTCGTTTTTCCGATGAGCTAGGTCTTTTCAGTCTTATCTATGAGAACAATGTTCCTCGCAAACGCAGCTCACAACTTACCCAACCCAACCTTTTCCTTACTAACCCGGCAGGGAATTTTGTCCCATGCTCAACTGATTGGTCGACCGGTCAGCTGACTCGTCTACCCACGGCCAATCAGCGCCATAGCCTGACGGTGTAGTGTGCTGCGGACATCGTCGCCGGTGCGAGATCGTAACTACTTTAATTTTCAAAGGTTTTGATACAATTCGTTGTTTTCCGATTACGGTGGATGCATTGCGGTTTAAAAAGACCATATACAGCCGCCTTATATGGATAGTTTCATTCTGAAATGAGGCGAAAATCTCATTTTACGCACTCTTCGGCCATCAAACATACATTGCATATGCTCACATCCCTCATCCGCCGCAGTCACAGAAATTTGAGCTGTGTAGCAAAGCCTGCAAAATTCGAGCACTTCTGTTGCACCGGCATTGCCCCGCCCTACCGCGCGTAGGCGGTGCGGGCAGAATCCGGGTCATCTGTCCACGTGCGCAAGAATGGGCGTCATGGTATGTCCATGTCCATGTATGTCCCATGGGTGTCATGGTAACCAGTCATGTTGGGTATTGTGACATAAGAAAGCGACTTCAGAATTGACTTTAATGCCTTTAATGCCTCACCTTCGTGTATTTACTTTCTGCTGTCCACGTTCTACGCTGCACCACGTCCTGTCGCGGCCAAGCACCACGTTGCCGTCCTTTTATATCGCGAGAGTTGTGATGGGTATAGGTGGCGCCACCACACCTCACTTCGTGTTTTTTCAATACAAATGTACGCACGCATGAAGTGTGTCGCAAGCAAATATAGGTAAGGTAGAAATATATGGCAGAAGGACATATGCTTTCCATTTCCGATTGCAAATGTGGTAGGGTTATCTGCGCCAGGGTATTCAACGTCTCAACAGCCTTCGTAAATCTTGTAAAACATCTTGGGGGAAAGCGTCTTTGCCATGCCCCGGGCACGCGTGCCAGCAGTGCCAGCTGCGATGTCATCAATACTGTCGTCTGGTGCGTTAGCGCTTGGTGTATCAAGCATTGTGGGGCTGAGATCAGTGAAATGACTAGCAATTTCTGTCCATTCTCCTCTCACAACCGACGAATGAATGCCGTCCCCTGCCTGACGCGCGGTTGGCACAGGAGATTGTGAAAGAACATCACCTGTATTAGCAGAACCGGTACATGAGACGACTCCTTCAATGACAGACGAATCAACCGTTACATACATGGCACTAGGCGTTGTTACTGGTGTATTTTCACCAGTGGCTACTGTGATACTTTAGTCAACCCCTTGAAAAGACGTGCTCTGTTGGGGAAACGTTGGGCGTGGAGAAATTGATGCACAGCTCATGTCATGAGCAGCTTTTTCAATGAGAGAGCCAGCCACATATCGTGTTTTTTTTTAGCGAGAATGTCATATTCCGCCATATGCTTACATTTCATGTGGCTGGGCAAATCTTTGGCTATGACCTTAACGTTACACACGTAGCATTTGAGGGCGTTTATCCTTTTGTGCGATGAATAACTCGATCGAGGTTTATGCATTTCTGCAAAGCAACGCCTATCCCAGCTGTCCAAGCAAATGCCGATGGTATAATACTGTCCGATACCTAGCCAATGCCTTTACAAACGCTGGCAGCAAGGACTCCTCACCAGGTGGACGACACGCACTGAAAAAGACATTGGTAATTAACGATGCATCTCTTTCATGCTGGCCTATCAACTTTGCACTGACCTGAGTATGGCTGGTCATACGCAATGTCGCACCCTGGGGCAAAGCACAACATTCAAGACACGGCAATATCAGCACATGTCGATTACAAACATATTACCACGCTGGACCACATGTTACTGAACGACTTCGTCGTTTTAATACCCTTCGTAGTACAACCAATAAAGGAGAAGGAACACCTATGACACCTATTTGACGTAATGCACAGAAGGTCATGCCACAAGACAATCGGCGCAAAACTTAGTAGCAGCACAAAGAGCACATGTCATGTACACATCATTGTCGAGGGATCACAGAGCACCCCGCTGTCCATGCGGGCGGCGACATAGTGACGCTGGGGATATTGCGACACAAATGACAGTGAGATTTACAAACGCAACGCCGTAATCAATCCCACGCAGATCAATACGCTCACGAAGAAAAAACCAAGACCAAGGCGAGACGTGAAAAATAACCGATCGTGCATAATCATGATAAAATTCCTGAGATCCCGGGTCAAACGAAGTCAAATAGAGATGTCGTCAGCAAGAACAGATGTAATGCCAGGTGGATCAGGCGGACCAAGTTGTGTTGGGCCAATGAGTCCATACAACGCAGGGCGAAAATAGACTGACGCTTTTGTTTTATTGAACAGAAACCCCGCTTGCTTCTCCTCGGTCAACTGCCAGCTGACATTTCGATAGGGGGGACGGGGAGGCAAACCACGCACCCGCTTCCGACCGCAGATACGGCAATTGGAGACGGTGATGTCCGGTTCAACTCAACTGTCGAGGGATCAGGGCGTGATATGTGGAGTTCCTCCCAGTGGTGTCACCAATGTTTTAGTCTCGGCGTTGGCATTTCAGCTTGGAGTATGAGGCAGTGCTCTGATTGAAATGCCTGCCAACCGCTTACCCTCCCTAGAGTTCGGAAAAAAATCCCAGATTTTACGAATTTCATTCTGACACCAGCAAGATAATTCCCGTTGTTGGCTTGGTTTCTGGGGCACCTTTACTGTTGTTTCGGGTTCCACCTCATAGTCAGGCTAACGCTCACCCTGACAGGGGGAGGAGGGTTTCCCCCTGGGTTTTCTGAGGGTATCCCTCGGGCATACAGTGAGATCGTATTCATATTCTCGGTAGTCTATGGTGGTTTCATTGTGCGTATTCCTCTCGCCTTTCCAAGCAGTGACCTTTTTTAAGAAGGTAACACGCCGATTCACGCCCGGCGCTGGCAGCTGGCGGCAACTCACGTATTCGTCGATCGCCCCCGGCGGCCCGACACCGTTACATCAACGGAGCTCACCCCCATGAACATATGCTCAAAATGCATCAAACTGCATGTTAGCTGCACTGCATCCAGTGTTATACAAAATGCATGTGTACATTTCGTGTCGTTGCATGAACTGGCTTCATAAATGTCGGTATGCACAGCTGGAAAAGTGAGCTTTTCGGGGGAATTTGACCTTTAACTGGGCATAGTGAGATCAATCATTGACCTAACAACAAATAAGTGATTGCCAATCTCGGAAACTCGTTGAGAGCAATCAACTTGGGTTCAGTTCCGCGAGACTCTCTCCTTCTTAGCTTGGATAAGGCAGGGGATCGTATTGACTCCCTGCCCTCTACAACGTCCACTACCATCATCAGCCGGCGTTATGGAACAGCGTGAATCAGGGCAAGGCTTCATGACAAACGTATGCAAGTCAATGCCTGGATCTCCGTTCCATTCTTCTGATGACTCACCTAACCAGCATATGACAGGGCGCTGACCACTTGAGTGACACTCAAACACTCAAACACGTCAAACACTCGCCATGTGGTTGACACAGTACGGGCTGTCAGCCAACGATTCGGCGCTGCTTAACTTTTGTATATTGTTTCCACGTCTAAGTTAGTCAGAGCCAACGAGATGCTCTTGGGAGCACTTATTGGTGAACAAATAAACCAGGCATGTATGCAAAATAGGCAACTAAGCATTTTCCCCGTGCTGCCATGTTGTCGGGGACAGGCCGACGAAACAGTCTGGATCAACAAACAGCTTATCGGGCGCGTGAGGCCAAAGACAACAATGTAAGCAGGGTCTCCACGCCCATAGTGTCCGCCGACACTGCTAACTTTACGGATCGAGGAAACCGGACTTTTGACTGTCAGAACAGAATTCATCTCGTCAAGAGGGAGGGGTAGCCAGTCAAAGTGGCCCTCATAAAACAGGAACTTTGCCTACAGGACGTGGGAGATATGACTCACGGGATGGGGCGAAGTTAATTGCGAGTACGATGAATGATTGTAGTATATGGCGATTGTGGGATGAATGAGCAGAACAGAAAACAAAACAATATATGATAAGGGCCAATAGGAGCAACGAGAGCTCAGCGGAGAGAAGGGCTGGGCTTTTAACTCCGGCCCAAATCAAGTAATGTTTAAGCCAAAGACAAACTAGGAGAGAATAGGCGACATTCTCTGCTGGCCGTAACGTAACCCAAGTCATGTCGGGCGGGTACAGCAGGGACCACTCAACAGACTTCTCCCAGTATCATTTCCGTAGCTCAACCTCCACCCGGAGCAGTGACGTGACATTACCTAAATGTCTCTCAAGGAATTGCTCATCCTCACACATGAACAGCGCGGGTACAGCTCATTGCTCATCTCACACATTCTGAGCAGGGAGTACAGTGGTTCTCTGCAGGACGGCCAGGTTGCATGAATATATGGGTACATTACTGGCCCACAGTGAAAAAGGTCATGAAGAAACGAAATAAACACCGTCGCCGACTTCGCAAAGTGCAAATGATCCAGAAACCAATTTAATAATAGTTGCAAATATTGCAGAATAGTGCAGCCATTCATAATGCAAAATAAGTACCAATGAACCCTGTGATTATCACAAACAGCCCCAGGAAAGATGAAGCCAATCAGTGGTGAAATTGTGCAATTGCTTGAAAACTACAGGACGTTGCAACACCGTCTGGGGGTTAATAAAGCGAGATATATCCCTAGCACCACCTCCATTGTTCACACAACGCACGGAAGCTTCCAAAAAGATGATTTGAGAAATCGTTGCAAAGGGTTGCTACACGTTGCAAAAACGATTAACGACCGTATGAAAGCCAAATGGCACCTAGAATCACATCCGGCCTACTCGTAAGTAGAAGCCCTCCGAGATAAAACCATGCATAACTGCAGTACCGCAAAAACGTCGCACATTGCAAGCAGCACACGACGTTGCAACACTTCAGTGGTACGTGGTATTTAGCAATCATCCATTGTTATGCTTCACATAAACTTATGTAATGATATAGTTATATGTGATGTAACTTTGTACGACTAAGGCTGCTCAACTCACAAAATTAATGCAATAGACTCATCCAACCGGGATTAGAGCACACGAATCGTAGATGGTTGAGCACTTAGTCGATGTTGCATGACAAGCCTAATAGCGACCCCATCCCTGGTGATGCCCAGATTCATATTGAGATATAATTGATATCTCAGTTATAAGAAATTTGGTACCATGATTACGAATCTTGAAACGTGAGTCTCGCACAAAGAATGAAACAGGATCCAGGAAGGTAGCTAAAAAACAATACAACAGATTCATGGATTAAAACTGGATGTAGACACACATGCAAACACACGTGCGTGCATGCACGCACAACGCACGCACGCACGCACGCACGCACGCACGCACGCACGCACGCACGCACGCACGCACACACACACACACACACACACACACACACACACACACACACACACACACACACACACACACACACACACACACACACCTGTTCACAAACTCCTCGATGCAGACAAAACCAGGTGGCATATAGCAGCTGTACTACACTTCAGCAACATGACATTAGAAAGCATATAACCAGCAGCCATCAGTATGCACACACTATAGATGCTGAGTGCAATCCAGTAAAACTTACCTCAGAATTCCAGCAGGGCATTGAAGTTTACCAGCAGCTCTGTTCAGCAAAGCAAAATCTGAAGAAATTAAAACAGGCTAACAATCTGCATTTTAATCACAAACCCTCAGCAGTTGTTATGTGCCCTAAATGTATGAATTACTTTTGAGCAGAACTGGCATAAAATGTCTGAAAGTAAATATAATTCAAACAGTTTGTACAATTTGCTCTGGCCTAAGCTGGGTACACAACTACACAAATGCTCTGGGTTGAGTGCACTCATATCATGTAAGCATCACAGCCGTGGATGGATTTTTTAAAGATTGACATGATCACAAGTGAATTAGCCACTATTTGACATAAGTTTTAAGAATTTCACTTGCAAAATGAAAAACACTATTTTTAACAGTGAGGGACAGGATTTATGAAAAACCTGGTCACATAAAATATAAATTGCACAATGGCCGTGGCGGTCGAAGCACCTCCAAAATGAAAGGTACCTCGTAACTTAAAAGAACATACAGCAACCTAGATCCCAAAAAACAGGAACGTAATAGGTAGCTATTGCAGCCTTTGCACGAGCACACGTTCCACATCAGAAATCACTTGTCGCTAGGTACTCACCGATATGGATCTCCACTTGGCGCCTGGCGCTGTCGACTGTACGCGAACGCGGACCAAATTATACAGGCGCCGCCTGAGCCCTAAGGCAGGCCAAGAGCCGCTGGCCAATTACGGAGAACAGAGGGGGACGCCGACTGATGAGAGCCGGCCAGCCTGCGCGGCGAGTCGTCCAGACGCAAACAGTTCGAGAAACACGACCCGTACACGACCCAGCCACGACACGACTCGGGCACGGGAACGCAGCCAACCCAGGCATAACAGGAAAAAGGCCGTAAACGCCCAACCACCACCCCGCGACTGCACCGCACGGCCCCGAACCATGGCTCCGTTCCCGGGAGACGACCGCACAGGGGAGCAGTCTTCAACGACAGAAACGGCCCCAATTACGGCTTCCATTCTGTTTTAATGCTGCTTGTTTAGGACTTTGCCGAATTCTTAGAAATTATCAATTGGCAAAACCCAGCTTAAATAAAAAGGCAAATTAAACAAATTACACAATTATTTCACTTCAAAACCAATAGGTCTGCCCAAGGGAGAACAAGGCATACCTATGTAGCTTAACACTCACATAAAAGTTTAATGAGGCCGCTCCCTAGATTGATGAAAAAATTACGTTCTTTCCTTCCATATCCCTTTTGTGCGTTTTCATGGCGTATTCAGCTCGGATTTCTTGGTGGAAAATACGCATTCTCTCCAATGCTAAATCCTCCCCAAGAGACAGACTTCGGAGCACATGATTCTGCGTGTCCGCAAGTGTTTAGGATGCTTTGTGACGTCATTGTAATACCTTACATAGAATTTCTCATTCTGATAGTTTGACATGAAAATTGGATAAAGAACGCATATGAAACGTCTGAATCGCTTTTTTTACTCCATATATACTAAACCAACGTTATGTTTATGTATGTATTTATATATCTTTAAATGAACGGCTTACTGTGACGTCATTTGTTTTCATATCAATTTCATTGTGTAATCCAGAAAAGTTGAATCATGTCGTGACAGCTGATCCCGTGTTATTTCTCCTCCTTGGCTATCCGCCCCGACAGGGGAACCAATTGTTGTTTGCGGTTCGACGTTCTAGTTTCCGTATGGGGTAGGGTGTGTCGTCGGAAGACGGTAGGTAAGTTGAAAATATACTGGTGAGCGGGGTTAGACCGGAGTGCGTAGTGCATTGTGAGGAAAGTTGTGTACCATTGCCAATGTTGAAAAATGATTCAGCTGAAACCCGCCAGCAGCGTGCCTCTTTCAGTGGTGGTGAGTGCGGCGCGCGGCCTTGCCGATTTTCGGAACGGGCTCACGCCTCACGTTGAACACGGAGAATAATTTTTCGTATTCTTTCCACTGTACATTTATGGAGTCTAAAATGTCTTGGGGCGAAAAACACCAAGAAACACCCAAATTTCAGACACTGTGTTGCATGGCTATTGAAGTGAAAGATGTGTTTGCATCTTTCTCACCTGCGTTTCCTGGATTCCCGAAGCAGGTTGAGCAAGTGATGCCACTTATTGTTTGTCTGCTTTGCTGAAAGCGATTTGTATATTGCACCATGTGTTTTTTGTCAGTCATATGTCAGATGGCAAGTCAAGAGAGTGCATAGAACAAGACTGGGTGCATGCTTGATCCATCTTTTCACGCTGAAGTTTATGATGAAAGCGGCATGGATTGCAATCGAAAACCATATTGTTTTTCATTATGTCATGCCAGAGCACGGCACAGATAGTGCCAAAATGAAGCTATTGACCAGTGCCATTACACAATGTGCTACTTTGATCGAGTACTCTTTGTCAAGCCTATGATATAGCAGCTTATAATTTATGAATGACTGCTAAAAATTTATTTCACATCGCAAAGGACTGTCTGCGGCAGGAATCTCGTTGCACCACAATGGTTATATTAGGGTTAACTATCAATTGCATGAACAGTCCTAAGCAAAAAAAAAACATTCTTGGTAGCCCAAGGTTACGATCTTTAGCATAGCAATAGCAACGCTTTGACAATCAATGCATGGCAACGTTACAAATGTATTACTTTTGGCACGACACCCCATTTCCATTTACAAACAATAACGACAATGACAACTGTACACATCACATGATATCAATGTCAGGACTACAGCACTACTCGCAACGATGGGTCGACAATAAAGTATTGACAAAATCATCAACAGAGAAACAGCAACAGCAGCAGCACAGCATATTGTGCTTTGATATCACTAATCTGACATAAAAGCTGGCGATCGCTACGTTGCGCATGTCGAACAGTCCACGAAAGTTTCTCTTACGGCCAACACCAAGACAAAAAATCCACAAATAACCTACCCACCAGTCCGCCGCCCCCCCCCCCCCCTTCCACACAGCCCCCGCGACGAGAATGGCCGGTTAGCGTCAGCTTTCGTGTGTTTTGAGGTATTCTTTAGGTCTGGCTGCCAATGGTGCCAGGTTTTGCTGCCGTCACAAACACATTCCATGACGCCATCAAACAATGACGCAATGGGACCCATTTTTATAAACTTTGAAATTTTGCTACTTAGCGTCGTTTTTGAACTTTGAAAGCTTACCAATAGTTACAAGGAAGTATTTTCCACCGTATCTGATGCCTAACTCAGTATCTTCAAACGTGGAACATTCCCTTTAACTTGCCATCCATCCAAACATGTTAAACACCCAAGCGTGAACAATTCGTAGGGGATAAAAGCGACAATTTAAAGCACAAAACTTCTTTGAACGCCATTTTTGCCCCTTTAGACCCCCGGTTAGCCGTTTTTTGGTCCATGGCGGGGCTGAATCTGAGCCGTTCTGAGCCGGGGAAATCTGAGCCGTGTCAGTTTCTCCTGTGGAGCAACTAACTGCTAACCCTGCCTGCTTTCAACATCTGGTTTGAAACCAGATTTAGTAATTTTCTATTTTAACCCATCAAGTTTGGTTCATAACGTAAATTATGATGCCTCTCCCCTTACGAATTAGGTTGCTCCTCTTTGGCATCAGGACGACCTGTTTGTGCTGGAGAGGCTCCCTTGCTGGTTTGGTATAAATCAGGAGGTCCTTTTATGCATGCATCGGAAGGATCCGTTGTTACGTTGCGATAATGGTAGCGAAATAGCAGTGTTAAAGGGAGTGTTCCGTGATTTCTATGGGAGTTTGAACTGAAATGCCATTTTCAAGATCATTCGGTGCTATTCACATCTCCGCCATTATTTAAACATAAACCGTACTAATTTGTCAGCTACACGCTCACGAAAATGTACGGACTTTTTCGTGCAGATTATTTCAAGGTTACCCAGGCATCCATGCCGCCATAATCACGGCATTAAAATCCTGTGATTTCATTGGCCATGCGGCGATCGAGGCCAAGAACAATGTAATGTCCGAATCGTTTGTATCTGGCGTCTGTGGGCACGATTTCCAGGTCTTACTGCCATCAAATGGTCATCAATTAATGTTGAGCAAGGTACGATGACGTAACCAAACATTGACGTATTGAGGAGCATTTTACTAAATAGAGAAATTGTGTTGTCTTGAGCAGTTTTCGCTTTTCAGGTGAACCAATATTTGTAATTGAGCTTATTTCACTCCATTGTTTGCTTCAGTATCTTCAGTAGTGAAACATGTCCTTTAAAGCCTGTAAGCACATTTTCAAAATAAGCAGAAGCGGCACAGCAGGGACGGGAGGCAAGGGTGCAGGAGGGTATATTTTTGCTGTATAAGGAGGCCCCGAATTCATCACGGAGCTCGTGATCATTCCACCTTTCGTATAGCCAGTAGCCGTGACTCATTCGTTTTCACTTCACTGCGGTTTACAGGCTTCTATCCGCTCCACAGCGCCCTTCATCGGACAAAGTGATAAAATTATGTACTTGAAGTTAGAGCACTCTGCTTCAGATCTTAGGTTGATGCCAGTAGGACTGACATGACCGGCTTATTTTTTATTGGGTATTTGTTGTGTGAGTATTTTAATATCCTGCTTATGCGAGGACAAGCCATGTCCTGTTTTATCGTTACTGTATATTCAGTGTTACGTAATGCATGTAGGTTAAGATGAGCCGCCTGATCAACAGGCTCGCCCTCTCCTAAAAGCGAGGGCGGTGTGGAGGGACCCGGGCTGGCCGGCGACATTCTCAGTGAAATTAATGTCTTACACTTTAAACATCAGTGACGCATGAAGCGGCCGGTAGCAAAGGAGGAAATAATAAAAGGTTAGAAAAGGATATCAGCCGGCAATGTTGTCCAAAATACACATTCGGTGCTTAAATGTACTGACATCAGGAGCGCACCTTAGATTGGATACATGTAAGTAAACCTTAAATACTCGACGACTGAGTCAAATGGGTTCAGTTCTTACGTGGAAAATGCGTGTTGCTGCGGCGCGCCCAGATGTGCCTGACACTGCAAACGCCCCTGATTGAGACTACGACTATTCAAAAGGGCGGGCCTAGGTACATCATCACGTTGGAAACAATAGGTTGTTTATCACGATCAGTTCATATACCACACTCAGCGCCTAAATAATGTCCGTTGCAACAAAAAAAAAACACGTCAACATCGCCGCCGACTGAAGAACCGTCACTGCTGCTTACATCGCCGAGCGCTCCGCGCGGCACCTTGGACATAACATCCACCCTTTGAGTTGCAGTGCCATCACCTGAGCTGAGCCACGGACTTGTGAGTGGCGCCGTTCGCTCTCCCAGGCCCCTCCCTCACCATCATAGCATGAGGCGGGGACGACCGCGTCCATTTCCCACGGCCCAAGGATGACCGCGCGACCGGTGCAGGGGCGTGGTGAATTCCCAGAATTGGGCAGGTGCGTCTGCCCCACTGCCAGGCGTTTAACCCACTGCCAGTTGTCTGGCTTGCTTACAGCCGTTCTTATTCCTCGTCATTCGCACCTACCAGTGAATGTCACGTTGCCGTTAAGTAGTGGGGGTTCATCCGGTGTAAAACGGATGCTCCCGCCCGTGACGCAGAAGACCCTCGACCCCTCCCTCCCTCCCCGGACAGTGGAGACGGCCGCCGGCGCGGACCTCGCGGCGAGTCGCCTCAGGCGGTGTACTGTACGGTCGGCTGACACC